AAGCATGTATTGACCCTTTCTTTGTCTGAGACAAATCTATTTTCTAATTTCCAATTTCTATTTTAATATAAATGACACATGCAAAGAATAGCAGAAAAATAACCAGAACTGACAGCAAATGTTGATGCAAGAGAAGGGACAGGAGAGATACGCAAAACGGTTTTAGTTTAACACCTCTACTTAGAAGCAAATGTCCTCCAGTACAATAAAAATCCATTTGAACAACTAACAAGGTGAAATAGTAAGAGACTGATTTTTTTTCTTGGAAAGCATTGAGGATGTACATAGTAATGGCAAAGGATATTCAATGAGAAAATTCAATATGTGGCAGGATTCAGTGATTTTAGTACTGCATTATTCTTAGAAAAAAATTTAAGTATAAGTGATTCTTTTTCCTCAAAATATCCTCTAAATAACTCTTGCAATGGAAATGCACCATTATTATGTAGTGTCATTAACTCAGTTCAAATATGTTTTATGTAAAATCCTTTCAACTATTTTCACTCTAAATCGAATCCTTTTGAAGTTACATTCCAAGAATTTGCTGAACATTTCTAAACATATTATGCCATGACTCCTGTGTTTTCTTCCATCTGAAGCTGGACTTTCCTAACCATGTATCTAAGATTCAAAGGTAAATAGTGTTAAAACATTTCCAATGGTAAATCTTATCCTACTTACACATTTTGAAAACAATACAAAACCTAAAAAAAAAAACCTCATGGTCAATTATGAATAATTTTTTTACATTTCCTCGATTTTTCTTGGCTTTATTATTTTTTTCTATTTTCCTCTCCTTCCAAGTGACCCCAAAATAATTCCACTGAAAGACTGAATATACAAGCAGACAATGGTGAGACCACGTATGACAAAGAACTTTGGCCTAGAATCTGGAGAAAACATCTCCTGTAGCAAAACTACAAGCTAAAACCTCTCCAGCAATCTGCCCAGAACAATTAAAATTTGTTCAGTAACTGGTAGCTCCCTTCCTCCTTTTTGTGCCACTCAGGGTCTATCGGAGACAGTCAAATATGCCCCCTAAGCAGTCATGCAAGATGCCCCACTTCTAGTCCCCACCTTCCTCAGAGCACCCCTGGGGTATATACCCTTTTTCCTACTATAAAGCTTTTGCACCCTCCTGCCTGCCCTTGAATCTCTGCCACATGCAGGTGATGGTAGCTGGTTCCCTTGCAAGCTGTCAATAATAACTTCTGTTTGTTCTCATTAATTATCCTTTATTTTCATACCATACATTTGTAAGAAAAAATAGAATGATGATTTTTACTTTTTGATGTAATATTGGAGTGTCAGACAATATTATATTACACCATGGGGGCGGGGCAGATTTGTCATTGCTGGAATGTGCCTCCTTGTAAGCTCAGACTTCAGGGCCGCCTTCTCCTGCACTATAAAACCCTTTACCCCTTGATGCCTGGACCCACCAGCCCAGTCCAATGACTGCTTAACTGCTGGATTTCTCTGTGTTTCCACTCTGCAGGTATGAAGCAGGGCTGGGGTAGAAAAAAAAACTGGACTATAAGAAAATAACTCTGCAGCAGACACTTGACTAAGCATTTCATGTGAAGTATCTGTTTTGATTCCCATAGTGATCCTCATTCATTCAACAGACAATAAATATTTCTTGAGGATGTAGTTGGTGCCGGACATTGTGCTAGGCCTTGAATAGATAAACAATGAGTAAGAGGACATTTTCCCTATTTATTAGGACATGTATTCTTGCTGGGAACATAGCTTCTTTTAAAAAGTACATGTAAATATATAATTATGCATTGCAGTAAGTGCCACTCTCAGAAACTCAGAACTGATAGGGACTTTGGGGGTGCCTATCGAAGAAAATAATATTCAAACTGTGACACCCAAGTGAATAAGAGCAGCCTGGCAAAGGGCTATTCCAGACTGGGAAACTCTATTGCTGAGTAACAGAAAACTTTAAACCTGTGAGAAAATTGGAGAACAATCAGTGTAGCTGGAGCAAAGAAAACATCTGACAGGATGGAGAGAGTTCAGAGGGGGAGGTAGGAAACCCATTGTAAATGGAAGGGTTTAAATAGACAAATGACAGACCAATTTGCTTTTAAAGATTATCAGCTGGTTGCTGTGGTTTGGGGATGGCTCACAAGGAGGAGTAGGACTGAGAGTCTAATGTAGATGTCCATGGGAAGGTCCCCCGGCTATGATTTCAGCAATGGATGTAGAGAGAAATGGATGGATTCTAAATATATTTTGAAAGCAGAATATATGCTGTGGTCTTTGAATTCACCAGAAGAATTCAAGCTGGGAAAACTACTCATTCTGATTTTCCTTTTCTGATTGCTAGTACCAGATACAAGACTCTTAAATGAAGATGGTTGTTTTATTATGGCCTAAGGTAGACAAAGTCACATACTACAATTTCCCCTTATTCTCCCTCCTCTGCTCCACAGAGGTACTTCCAAGGCCCTGGGAGCCTCTTTGGGCAGATGTAGCTGGTTGTGTATATGGTATTGGTGACTCTTCTGGGACCATGGCTAACTGAGCTGGGCTCCAACCACAGTCCCTGTTGAGATACAGTGGACAGGAGTCACAATGATCTATAGGCACTACCTAGATGCAGAGGATGTGTCTATAGTAAACTTTTAAACCCAAGATCCTTTCTCTGAACATGTCCAGTTTCTTTGTCATAAACACAATCTGTTTCTTCCTGGTTTATCTATTCCACAGGTGCAAACAACAAAAGCACAGACTTTCTTCCTATTAACTGTTGCAATCCTAAGGTTCATAGTTCAGAAAATCATCCAAAATATATCATTTTAATGATGTGTAAATACCATAGGATCTCACCTGTAAGTGCAACCTAATCAACAAAACAAATAAGTGAGCAAAATATAACCAGAGACTTTGAAATTAAGAACAAACTGATAGTTACCAGAGGGGAAGTAGGGGGGATTATGGGGTGGGGGGTAAAGGGAGAACGGTTGTCAGGAACATGTATAAAAGACACTTGGCAAAAGCCAAAATGGGGTAGAATCAAGGGTGGGAGGTGGGGAGTAGTGAAGGGAAAATGGAGACCACTATACTTGAACAACAATAAACAAACAAACAAATACATAAAAATGGGGACAGAAAAAAGATTATCTTTTTTAAGCATTTATTACTGCCCAATTTAATATTATAATTTTATGAGTCCATTTATTATTGGCAGGTTTTCTTCACTGGAGTACAATCTTATAATGGCACAAAACAGAGGTTCACTGCTTATTTTCTAAAGAATTAATTAAATAAATGCAGTGTGCTGGTCAAAGTTGACCAAGACAAAATGAGGAAAAGGCAATAATATAAGAAAAAGAATAAAGCCAGCATTTCACACATTTTCTTTGTTGAATTTCCTCACCAGTCATAAGATAGAATTGGGGGTAGTTAAAATTCCTAGCCTCAATCCCTATAAATAATGTATTTCCAGGTGCTTTTAGAGATCCTGATATTCTCACTTCAGCCTGTCTAAGAGGAAAACCTTTGCACACTGCCTTTTTGAGATGAGGAATTTGGCATAGAGAAGTTGGGCAGAGGATGAAATCCACGCATTTGTTATAGAACTGGAATTTTCTTTTACTTATTTTATTTATTTCTATTTCTATTTATTTTTAAAGATTTTATTTATTTATTATTTACTGTTGTTCAAATACAATTGTATTCCCCACCACTACCCCTGCATACCCCACCCACCCCACCTCCCAGCCTCCATCCTACTCACCTTTGGCTTTGTGCATGCGCCCTTTATACGTGTTCCTTGATGACCCTTTCCCTTCCTTCCCTGTTATCTCCCTCCTCCCCTCTGGTCACTGTCCGTTTGTTCTTAATTTCAATGTCTCTGGTTATATTTTGCTCATTTGATTCTTTTGTTGATTAAGTTTCACTTACAGGTGAGATCATATAGAATTATAACTTAAGCCTCCTGAATCACCATATATTGATCTTTCCAAACTGAGAGCTCTATGAAGGTAGGAATTCTATGTCTTTTCATCTATGGGTTGATAAGTACTTTCTAGGAAAAAGTCAAAGTCAAGTCAAAAAGACTTACTAGCCCTTGTGAGGCAAATATTGCTGTTTCCCATGATGTAGCTGAAGAAACTGTTTTAGAGGGATTAAAAATATCTGCCTATAAATAGTTAATGTCAGAGCAAGGATTCTAGCCTAATTAACCTAAATTGAGTCCCTGATCTCTTAGCCATTCTACTACATTAAAAAAAAATGACTACCTTTTGCTACTTAACAGCACTCTACTTCTACTGACTCAAAGTCAAGTCTGCCACAATGGTATTTCCAAAACATTTACATTATTCTTAAGTTTGACTAAAGTAAATGCCACCCATTTTTTTCCGTTTATTTAATTATTGTTCAAGTACTTTTCTTTGAGGTGATGACTTCATATACTAATTTTTGAAGATAATAAAAACGTGTGATGTGAACTGTTTTAATACTCTTTTCCTCTAACTGGCCTTCAACCGTTCTCAATACCTTATGTCTTCTCAGGAGATTTGTGCCAGTTTCCTTCCAATGTTAATTTCTCCCACTAATTTGTTCTCCAGGCTTTGATTTCTACCTTTATTATTGTCTCCTCCCACTTTTGCTACCTGGCTTCTCCATTAGTTTTTAAAAACAGAGTCCCAATGACCTACCATTCTTTGAATCAACATGATTGCTAGAGGTTCAGTTAAAGCCTTCTGTCACTATTTATTCATTTCTCACTTCCACTCTCGGAATAGTTTTAACTTCATGGCTCTATACTAAAATTATTCCAAACTACAATATCTCCCTAAGCACCCCATTGGCCTTCAGGCTATTCTCTCTTTAAACTCTCATTTATACTAATTCATTGCAAATATATCCACATGATGTTTACTGTATGGCTCAAATCTAGCATTTTAACTCTATTTCCCTCATCTGTATGTATGTGTGTTTCATTTAATAATGAAAAGTAAATGAGCTGAATGCCAAAGTACCTTTTCCAGCCCTTCTTCCTTGAGGCTGATCACATCCAGATCAAAATCTGTTCGTAAGCCATTGGTTTTGTTGAAAGTTATTCTGCCTGTGAGACCTTCCCAATGTGCCTATGGGAAAGAAAAATGAGATTAGTAAATAAGTAAAGAAAGAGAAGAGAAAATGCTTTTCCACAAAAAAAGAAAAATATTTTCATTACTTCTCATAAGCATACATTGCTATGGAATTTTAAAATAGCAAATCTCTTCTTGCAAAATGAAAATAATTTCATAACTTATGATAAAGGAAACAGTACCTATCTCACTGGGGATTATAAATAGAGTTATTGTTATAAAATACCACTCTTAAATTCATAACCGATGTGAAAATAAGCCTATTTTATTAGTGTGAAAGAAACAGAATCTAGAAAAACCCATGTTGTAACGCTTTGGTTATACACTTTCCCCTTAGAATAATCAACTGATTAGTTTCTCCTAAGTGAGACTAGGAGAAATGTATCAAAATTACTTCATAAAGTTAAAGTTCATGTAGTAAGGGTTCTCCATGTAGAAGGAAGTATATGTAATAATCGACTTAATGTGTTCAACCCCTTCAAGGTGAGTAAATAACCAGGCTTTAAAACACACACACACACACACACACACACACACACACACACACACACACACACGAAGATTTCCCATTCTGCCAGCTATATTGCCAAAAATAGATGTTTTCCATTATTGTTATTTGGAAATAACTTGAAATACTTATATATAAAAATTTAAATGATGTAACATATACTTACAAGTATAAAGTTTTAAAGAATAAAGACTAAAAATGGATGTTATCATTACTACATTTCTAATGCTTCGGGTGTTTCTTGGGTACATATGGGTATGTACTGTAAAATCGTTTTAGGATAATAAATTACAAATGAAATAGAAAAAATTATAATACATATCTCTATTCATACCACAACATGTTATCAATGAGCTTAAACATGTATTAATTGGTCTCCAACAAGGAAGAAAAACTACTTTTAAACCAACTTCTTTCAAATAAAATAATTTCAGGGAATTAACACAAATCCATGCTACTATAAAAATAGGCAATGTAATCAAAAGTACAGGAGTAGAAGTGTCAAGTAGAAAAACAAATCTGGGACAAAGACAGCATCAGAAAATTTACATCAGGCGAAACTGTACTACTAAAAAATTCAATCACAGATTCAACCCTGAACTTTCTAACAACCAATAAAGAAAATATGATGAAAAAATACACAGGATCCATACTGTAAGACATACCAACTGCCCAGGAGAAAGTCAGCTTTTCCCGACACTGACTGAGGCCTTCGAGAAACATGTCTTTTTTGTCCTCAGAAAAGCTACACTATGATTTAGTGGACAAGACCCTCACTAATGCCCTACAATAAATATAACAGTGAGGTTCGTGCAACTGCTTTCACAAGGCTGTTTGACACATGCCTCAATACTCAAGCGCTACGTTCAGAAAAAGCAATTCTTCAACTAGCCAAACCTGTGCACGATGTTCATGGCTCTCTGATGCTGTTTTAAATCAGAAGTAAATATAATGTAGAATAATAAATAAAATGTATATTCTTCAGGCAGAATCATTTTACCTAGCTGAGAGTTTTATAAGAATTAGACAAGAAGAGTTCATATATTTTTTCCAAAGAGCAAGAGATTCTTAATTATAATCCTATTTGTGTTTTTAGTTTCAAGATGAATCATTTATTGTAAAATGAACTGATGATTTCTTATAAGCTATAAATGAAAAAAATTATATGACAATAATACCTGTGATTTTCCATAGCAAGGATTAAGTTTTCATAAGGTTTCATATAAATATTCCTGTTTTAATTGAATGAAGAGTATCCTAAACTGACAAAGGCATTTCTTTTGTTATAGGAAGAATAGGGAAAAAATTGTGTGTGTGTATGTGTGTGTGATATTAAAGAATTTTCTCTTTTCTTTCTCAGTATGTACATAGTGTAAGACTATAACAGATAAAATATTATATGTCCATAAGAATGGTTGTATTATGAAGTAATATGAAGTAAACTTTTCACTTTCATAAACCCATGTGTTTATGTTAAGTGTTAATATAATTAAAATAACAAGACATCATGTTTAAGAAGTATAGATCTAAAAGACAATTCTTTAAGATTTATAACCTGGGTGTAGTTTAATGTAGTATAAATAGCATGTATGTTAAAATTCATTATATGTTTTATTGCCTAAAATATAAACAAGCATTCCTTTAAACATATCTCCACATCACATAAATGACAAGTAACACACACACAAAGTCAGGAATGTGAAACTAACAATGTGATATACCACAGGTCACAGATTTTCATCTGTTTACACATTTACAGCTATTTGTAAGTATGTTGACTTATCTATCATGCAAGTTTCCTTCTTTCATTTGATGATTACACAATAATGTTAATTTGTTTGTAAGGGGAAGGGAGAAAGTTTAAAAGAGAAAAAGAAAAAAGATAAAAGGTTACCTGTTAAGAAAACTGCAATAATCTCAATGCATTCAGCTTGAGGGCAAAAGAGACAGGGGACATCCCATCTCCTGACATACCTCCTTAATTAGGCTCATGAAGCGGGTCCCAAAGCGCCAGGGTTTGTGCCGGTTACATTGTAAGGAACTGACTGTCATCTGGGGAAACTGTTGAACGCCCACAGACACCACGTGCACAGCGTCATACATCAGAGCAGCATCAGTCTGAAAGCCAAGAAAAAAAAGAAACATGGAGTCCATGAAATATGTGAAACCCATGGTAAAGGTTTGGAATTGAAGACAGTGAGGGGATGAGAAGTATATACCCACAATACAGATATATATTTCTACATGCTTTGGTTCCCTTAAGATATTATGATCAAATTTCTACTTCAGTTCCATTAGAATATTTGACTAACCTACCATCCCTGATAACCCAATTTCCTGTTTTTCTAGTATCTCTGTTGAAGTAAGAAATATGTGAAGACATTCGTTATTTCATTGTTGTTACTACCTCTGTATCAATCTTACTCTCTCACGACAGAAATGCACACACACAGAATGCAATTGCTAACATTTCGAATGGCTATATAAATTATATATTGAATATAAAAATAAATAAGTAAATGATTTCCTTGTATAAAAAGAAAAAACACATTCGATAGGATAGTCACCTAAAAATGTAAAAAATAAACCATGATCTTTTCTTTAATTCACTTTTTCAAAAGGTTCAATCTCAGAAACGATGCTTCAATTTTGAATCTCAATACATGTATTAATCCCTTTTCAAGAAACTATGCTTAATCCTCTCTACTGTTTTCTTTTCCAAAATTTCCATGTGAATGAAGTTCATTTTGGCTCCTCAGGTAAAATGAATACAAATTCTACCACATTTGCACCTGCTCAAATGACTGACCACTTTAGAGGTTGATGATAAAAAACTAAAATGTTTATAAATCATAACAAACCACAGGCTCAGTGACTGTCAATGCTGTGTGAAACGGACCCTCACATTCTGTTAGACAGATCCATGCCAGGTTCACTACCTACAGAAGAGGACCGTGCTGACAGTGCGGGTAGCAATGAACTTGGGGCCATCTGCTTGGCATGCCTGGGAATAAAAGCGTGTATTTCCTCTTCTCATTCACACAATTAGTGAGCTGTGAAATGAATTCCAAAATGAATAGGAACCCTGTAGATTATAACGCTTGCCACGATACAATACAGAATGAGTACACACAATAGCTTTTAGGCAAATAGATCCTAAGGAGCTCTGCCACGTAAAATGGAAGACAGCTAAAGAGCACAGTGCAACGACAGAACATCCTGATAATGCACTTTTATAGTTCATAAATATTTGGGGAGTATAGCTCAGATTCATAAACTTCATTTTATAAATATCAGCTGGCAATTTTCACATACTTTGATGGCTGCATAGTGAAAACTAGAGGAGACAAAGAGATGGATACAGGCATGTATCACAAGCCTGAGGTTGAGACTGATAATTGGCTTGGGACTGAGTTAACATTGAGAAGATGCATTTCATATATCACACAGGTGGTCATAAAGACAGTTACCAAGATATGCAGGACACATTTGATTTTTAATAAATAAAAATTTGTTCAAAAATAACTTAAAAATAAAATATTTGTTCAAAAATTACTGTTAAAAAGTATAGAAAAATGAACACCTTCAAACTAAATTAAAGATAAAGGCCATTTTTCAATTTGCACCACAAGAAACCTTAAAAAAAAAACATGTTCTTTTAACCCAATAATTGCCTTAAGAAAATCAGACATAAGAACAAAGGCTGCATATATTACTTATTTTTAAAAACAGAAAAAAAGTGGAGACCTGCTGTTCAAAAATTTTTTAAAATCATGATAAAATTTGTATAACCATTAAAATCATGTTTTAAAAATAATCAGATTGAAAATCACATGTTATATGCTAAGTGTAAAAGTAGATTACACAGAACCATATTTCCAGCATTAACTTTATATAGATCTTTATAAGTACTTGACATGTGCTATTTAACTTACTTAACTCTCATGATAATGATTTAATAACAAACACTACTGATGTTCCTATTGATACAGGGTGCAACCAGGGGGGCCCCCAAAAAAGATTTGGAATGGTGTCCAGAATTCAAAGTGTATAGGAATATTGGAGAGACATATAAGATGTCCTCACCGCCCCCCCCCCCAAGGGATGAATGGAGCAGGGCCATGGAGAACTGTTTTGCATACCAACAGTTTTGCAGCTAACCTCTGGAATGGTTATTTAACATATCTATAACCTTTAACTGGTTTCATAGATATGTTAAATAGCAGTGGCCAAGTTTGGAGTCAGGGAGAAAGGAGTAGCTTGAAAACTCAAGATGGAACTAGCAGGGACTCAGGATATAACTAGGGGCTGCTCTCCTGAGTGAGAAGTAGCTGGGACTCAGGATGGAACAAGGGGCTGCGCTCCTGAGTGAGGTGCCTGCAAGTGAGCTTGGAAAAGACTGGCTCCAGGACATGAGGGGACCCAGGATGGAACTAGGGGCTACGCTCCTGAGTAAGAAAGCCTGGGGAGAGCCACGCGGTTTCAGCAGAGTGAGGACCCCCTCTTGGTGAGGTGAAAGAGGGAGCCACGTGATTTTGGCAGAGTGCGGACCCCCTCTTTCCCAGGTGAAAGGGAAAACCACGCAGCTTTGCCAGAATGGAGATCCCTGCAGCCAGGTGAAGAAGAAAGCCACAAGCTTTTGGTGGAGTGCGGACTCCTGCAGCTTTGGTAGAAGAGGCCCACGCGGCTTTGGGGTGCCCCCTCTGGCCGTGGGGCCTGAAAAGCAAGAGAGACTTTGACTGGAACTGGGTACAAAGGACTCTTGCCAGTGGCCCATGAGAGGGTACCACAGTACTTTGGATTAACTCGAGATCCTGCACAGTGACACAGCTGACGGTGCCAGCAACCTGCAACACAGACGTGTGCTCTTTTCCTGATTTATGGTACCCGGAGTTGGGACAGTGGGAGAGGGGAGAGCTATGTGGGTGTAGGTGTACAACCTAAAGGACTTCGATATTTTAGTGGTGGCGTTAGGCCTGAATAGCATTAAATAAACATTTTGTTTCCTTTTCACAAATCTCTGGCTTTAAGAGATGTCTTTCCAATTGGCAGTGGACAGAAGAGCCCAGTAGATTTTAGTATTTTGTTTTTTGGGAGGGGCCCCTGTTGTATAGCAGTTTTGGGCATCCCTAGGTGGGCTAAATATTGTATTGCCCCTCCCTCGGACCTCTTGTTCAGTAACACTATTTTACAAATGACAAAAACAAGGCTGAGAGAGGTTAGGTAACTAACGAAAGCCACACAGCTAAGAAGTGGGAGAGGCCCAGATTCAAAGGGCCTCCTGCTCTTGGGTGGTGTGTCCTTAACTACCTCACTGTATGTTGCATGAACAACAACCACCACCAAAAAAAGAAATCAAAGGGAAGAAAATATAATATGATACCAATGATTACTCTTGGAATTAAAAATGACTAGAGGTTTAATTTTTTTCCTTTTCTTAGTTTTTTACAGTTTTTTTAAAGATGGAAGGTTACCCCAATATAATTATTCTCAAGATGGAAACTTTTATCTATTTCCACAAAATAACTGAAAGAACAAAAACTATGACATTTCCACTATCCTGTCATGATTTACTGATTTATAACCTTATCTAAAATGGCAACCATAGGAAACAAATTAGCCTAATTCAGAGTGTGAAATATTGCTTTGGGGACATAGTTTCAGCTTCAAAATCAGAGGACGTAATAGTTGATAATAAAATTGTTTGAGAACTGTGATTTTAAGTGTAATTATAGCAGGAATACTATAGTCATTAATCTACAGGGTGTGACAATAGTAGGTTACAGTTGTTTATATGGAAAATAATACAATAATTAATAAATAACAATGCAAGAATAAACTATTTTGCATGCTGACAACTATAAACCTACTTTTGCCCTACTCTTGTGTAAGCACTAGAGAAAATATTTTAAAAGTTAAAAAGTTATTGCTTAAATTGATTCTTGAATTCCAACTTTAAAAATTGTTAATTTATGATAAGGCAAAAATAGAGCTTCTTAAACTGTTCTTTATGTATTTTCATCAGTTTAGGGGGATTTTTACCAGCCTACTTTAGAGCAGTTGTTTTATGTGATAATATGGTTTTATTTTATTTAAATTTGATATCCTGTCAGACTTACCTTTACTTTCTTCTTTGCAAAACTACACATATGCAAAGTCTTCCACTTTAAAAAGTTATGAGAAATTAGTTCTTCAAAAACGTTTATCATATTTTCACAAAAATGAATATGCTTAAAAACATGTCTTATATTAGTAATAATATTAGTTAACATTTGTTGAATATTTACTATGCATGAGGTATTCTTTTTTTTTTTTTTAGATTTTATTTATTTATCTTTAGAGGGGAAGGGAAGGAGAGAGGGAGAGAAACATCAATGTATGGTTGCCTTTTGTGTGTCCCCTGCTGGGAACTGGCCTGCAGGGAACCAGCCTGCAACCCAGGCATGTGCCCTGACTGGGAATCGAACCGCGATTGTCTGGTTCGCAGGCCCGCGCTCAATCCACTGAGCTACACCAGCCAGGGCCGCATGAGGTATTCTTAAATCATTTCCTTTACTTGTCAAAATCATCATCCAGCTGGAAGTCCATTAAATTTATATCCAACAGGAAATCAAGGCAGAGAACTATTAAGTGACTGGACTAATAACATATCTTACAGATGGAAACCTGGATTTGAATCCAGACAATCTAACAGAGGGTCACATCCTTCCCTCTAGTTTTTTTTGCTCAGTGCTCTACATTTAATGAAGTACTTGAAGTACAATAAGTACAATAAGTACTTGAATGCACCAATCTCTGTAATTTTTGATGATGAAAATGTACCGCAGAGTAAGGAAATGTATAGATTGTAGAAAATTGATAAAAATAAATTCACACAAAAATGAAACACATCAGTGTATGGGATTGGATCAATGACAGGTTAGTTAGGAAGTAAGCAATGTTAATCAAGAACAAATTCATGAAAGGAGTAGATTTCCTCTATATAGCTGCTGCTCAGAAGATTTTCAGAAGGCAGAGAGTATCTTTCAAGATCAGGTTTAAAGGGCCTCTCTTACTCCCAGCTCTAAATTATAAAGATTGATTGAGCTGCTCTTGCTAAGTCTTTCACAACCTCACTG